AGTAGTAGTAGTAGTAGTAGTAGTAGTAGTAGTAGTAGTAGTAGTAGTAGTAGTAGTAGTAGTAGTAGTAGTAGTAGTAGTAGTAGTAGTAGTAGTAGTAGTAGTAGTAGTAGTAGTAGTAGTAGTAGTAGTAGTAGTAGTAGTAGTAGTAGTAGTAGTAGTAGTAGTAGTAGTAGTAGTAGTAGTAGTAGTAGTAGTAGTAGTAGTAGTAGTAGTAGTAGTAGTAGTAGTGGTAGTAGTCGTAGTCGTAGTAGCAGTAGTAGTAGTAGTAGTCGTAGTCGTAGTAGTAGTCGTAGTAGCAGCAGTAGTAGTAGTAGTGGAAGAGGAAGAAGTAGTAGTAGTCGCAGTAGTGATAGTAATAGAAGTAGTAGTAGAAGTAGTAGAAGTAGTAGTAGTAGTAGTAGTAGTAGTAGTAGTAGTAGTAGTAGTAGTAGTAGTAGTAGTAGTAGTAGTAGTAGTAGTTAGCAGTAGCAGTAGCAGTAGCAGCAGCAGCAGCAGCAGCAGCAGCAGCAGCAGTAGTAGTAGTAGTAGTAGTAGTAGTCGTAGTAGTAGTAGTAGTAGTAGTAGTAGTAGTAGTAGTCGTAGTAGTAGTAGTCGTAGTAGTAGTAGTAGGAGTAGCTATCATCACTCCAGCCGTAAGATAAATATGTGGGGTTCCTCGGTCGCGTAATTCGGGTTCTGGGTTCTTTCCTCTCAACGATTTCCCCCTCACCGTTTTTTGTGTGGCCCGCGCGGGCGACTTGTCGGCCTCGCCCAAGCTCCATGCGCATTTCGCTCGGAAGTGGTGTCCTCCGCGGGCGCGGCGCCATGCTCGTTCACCCGAGCGCGCGACATTTGGACGCCCGAAATGGGTACGGAAAGAATGGGCACAATGCCCAACAGCACATGTTGTCCCGAACCTACAGCGGCCGCTGTTGGGCAGGCGGCCTTCTGCCTCAAATGAACACAGGCCGCGGCGGCGTGGACAGCGAGTCCTGTTCCAAATGAACAGGAACTGCTGTTGGGCATTGTACCCGTGCAGACGGAAGCTGCAGCGGCCGGCAGCGTAGCCGCGCGAGAGCGGGCGAAATGCCGACCTCGCCCAGGCGCCGCGCAGCTGATCAACGATAATGGAAATGCGGCGCATGCTGCGTCCATGCCCGGCCCGTCGGGCGCTGTGCCGCCCCCGCCCCTGCGCGGCCCGCTTCGTTTCCTCTTTCGCGAGATCGTCGGAGGCGGAACCGCGCGAGCGCCTTCCTGGCCATCGGTCGGACGTCCATTCCCTGTGCTTGTTTCGGTTTCGTTCGTGTTTTTATTTTTTTTGCAAGATGATCAAAGATGCTCCTTAAGAATCCCCGCCGAGAAAGTGTACACGTCCGAGCGATACCAAGCTTCCGTCTGCGTGGCAGGAACGCGTTTCAATCCCCACGCCAAGTCGTGCCACAACTTGCTCTCATGTTGTGGGAAGGGAGGGTGAGGGTGGGCGGGGCCCTCTGACTCGCCCGACCTAGCCAACTCGACTTAAGTCGGGCGTGTCCCCCTACAGAAGAACTTTGGGCGAAAAATAAAACTAACTGAAAACAAGACACCCCCAAATATTCAAAACTTGTCAGCAAAAATCGTCACCAGACAATTGTTTGACTACATTTGAATATTCCCCTGTAGAGGGACACGCCCGACTGAAAACTTGACCCATACCGTGCCTCGACTCCGCGGACCTCTCCTGGGGCGCGTTTTGATCAAAATTTTGCCACGAGCCCAGCCGTGCTAACAATTGTTTTTGAACGCCCGGAGTGGGCACAGAAAAAAACGGGTACGATACCGAACAACACATGTTGTCCAACACGAGCCGCGGCTGCTGATGGCCAGGCGGCCTGTCTCGAGTGGGCGACGTCCGCGGCGTACTGACAGGGAGCCACTGTCAAACTGGGCAGGACCAGCTGTCGGTCATCGTCAGGGTGAGAGGGCCGAAGAGTCATTCATTGTCTCTGAGTGGGTGGCTAAAGTGTGACTCCGCTGCACGGACTCTTGTTGTTGTTGTTGCGTTTCGTTGCGTTGCGTTGCGTTGAGCCTCGTTTCAAACAGATCATTGCCGTTGATCCCCCCTCCGGTGACCCTCCCGGAACTCGCACTCTTTCTTATAAAAGAGGAACGCCTTGGGCCTCATATTGTGTTGCTGGCCCCAATTTGCAAGGACAGCTGCTTCCGTCTGACACTTCCTCAAACGTCATTCAGAATCGCGTTCTCGCGTGGGACTTCCTCGCATCGCAATTGATTCAACCGCAGCGCCGTCGACACTCGAGAATCACTCCCTCGCTCTGGACGCCATCACGACTTACTCGGGAAACGCGCACTCGCTCGAGACTTGCTCGCGATTCATGCAGGACTGCTGCTGCATCGACCCGCCAGTCTCTACCCAGCCGTCTGGGCCCGCCCGACCAAATCGTTAGCGTCCACCCGCCCGACCCGCCCGTCAGGGTCCGACCGTCGCTTCTGCTCCTAATCCCCCTCCTGCAAATCTCTGTCGTGCGCCATCCTTCTCCCTCCACCTTGTCCCTTCCCTCCTCCCTCCCCTCCCCTGTTGTAGGGGTCGCGCCAGCAACACTTGGCAGGTAAGAAACACCCCAAGGGGGGTAGAATCGAAAACTAGCCAGGCGTCTATCGAGTGTTTTTTGATATGCGTGTTGAGAGACCTGCGAGCAAACAACAGCAAACGCTCTGAACATGATATTTGAATTCTTACTTCTAGAGAATACGTATTGTTGACCCCCCCGCGGTGCCTCTCGGACCTCGCACCGGGTTTCTGACAAAATGAAGTAATATTGAGGTTCGTATTGTCTTGCTGGCCTTCAGTTTACAACAACAACAACAACAACAATCATTTTACCCGAACGCTCAGTGTTCTCACCAGTGCCAGGGTTTTCATGCGACGCGAGACAATACCCCCACTTCGTGGGGGGGCAGTTCAAGCTTTACCAAATATCCAAACGACTCTTCGCGACCACCCAAACCCAGCTTCCCGCCCTATGACGTTGGGACACTTCACTTCGTGGCGTGCGGACGACCGTGGCTACTACACTGGCGTGGGGTACACACCCACAGAACTTGGTCACTTATTCGGGGCGCGCGTGTGCCCAGCATCCTGCAATTGTGACATACAATACATGACACAGACAGACAGAGAGAGAGACAGAGAGCAGACAGAGAGAGAGACAGAGAGAGCGGAGTTGGTCACATTTTTGGGGCAAGTTCCTGAGATCGTCGTGTTTTTTGTTGGTCTTGCGCGCGCGAATGTCCACTTTACTTTTTTTTGCAAGGGAGTATTGAAATTTGATTATGTTAGAACAAGAAAAAGTAGCTCGCGCGAGCTCATGTAACATAAATGTTGAAAAACCATTGGTTTTGTGGGAGTCGGACAGCGCGCGCGGGATGAAATTTGGACATTTTTTTTTGAAAAACCATTGGGTTTTTGATGTTTTTATGTTGAAATCGTTACGAAACCTAAGGTTCTGGAAGGATTTCGTCTTGCGCGCGCGAATGTCCACTTTACCTTATTTTTTGCAAGGGATTCTTGAAATTTGATTATGTTAGAACAAGAAATGTCATTTTATAGTGTTTTTTGCAAGGGAAAGCGGGGGGGAACAAAAAACCGGATCCGGAGCTCATCCACTTTTCTGAAGCTTTCGCGAAAAAATGATGAAAATGTAGCTGCGGCCTAGGCGCGGCGCAGAGGTCGCGCACCAGGGGTCCCAACAATAATTATTCTTAAGAAGAAATAATGTTCAACAACAACAACAACAACAACAACAACAACAACAACAACAACAACAACAACAACAACAACAACAACAACAACAACAGCTCCCGCCAAATAGTTTCCTCACGATTTACTTGCAGTTGCGCTCCCGCGCGGGACTTCCTCCCACATTATGCGGGACTCGCGCTCTTGTGTGGGACTCCCTCGCAATTTAATCAGACGCCGCGCCGCGACACTCAGGAAGCTCGCTATCGCCGTGGACTTCCCCAGGATTGGGGAAGCCGCGCTGTCGCTCGAGACTTGCCCGCCACTCATGCCGGCCTGACACTGCAGCGGCCCGCCCGCTCTGCTCAGCCGTCCGGGCCCGCCCGCCCGACCTGCCCTCAGAGTCTTCCGGCCCGGCCCGCCCGTCTGGCTCTGCCGCTGGAACCTCTGCTCCTGACCCCCCACACTGCTGAGCTGTGTCGTGTTCCATCCCTCTCTCTCTCTCTCTCCCCCTTCTGTCTCTCCTTCCCTCCTCCCCGTCCCCTGCGCCAGTGGCCCTCGCCAACTGCACGTGGCAGAAAAGAGAACGGTCTGCCTCCAGGGGAGGCGCCATCGAAGACGAAGGGGGTAGGCGTCGAGGGTTTGGGGCATCCATGCCGCATGACACGCGAGCGTAAGACAGCGAGCAGCTTTAGCATGATTGTTGTTGTTGTTGTTGTTGTTGTTGTTGTTGTTGTTGTTGTCGTCGACTCTGCCTCGATCCCTCCGCGATCCCCCCGCGACCATCCCCGCGACCCCCCCGCGATCCACCGCGCGACCCACCCGCCCGCTTCCTCACTCCGATCTGCACCTGCGGGGTGCTGGGTGACCGATCCCTCCGTGCCCATTGCGCCCGTTCGCTCGTGCCCATCGGGGTATCGCTTCACGAGCGACTCTGGGGCGCGGTCCTGCGGACACGCGGTCGCACGGCTACGTTCCGCGCGAGGCACCCGCGAAGCCACGCCTCGCATCCGCGGAGGGTCGCGGCCCCAGGGGGCCCCAGCCCGAGAGGGGCCGCGCACACGGCTGCGCTTTTCGCCCGCCGTCGATCTCTGCGAGGCGGGGACTTTGCGCACATCCACCGCCCGGGAACCGACGCGCGGGGTCCATGGAGTCAGTGTGGCCCCCAGGGGCCCGAACATGTACATGTCCACCGCCTGCTGCAGGTCCGCGAAGATAGATCCCCCAGGCGGTGGTTCCGGATAAACCCCCACCTCGGAGCGTGGATTCCTCCCCTGACCTCCAGCCCGACCGCCCTGGCCAGCGACGCGTGCTCGCACGCGTGCCCGACGCGCGCCGCGGCGCCGGCCGCCAGCTCCGCCCGCCGCGCCGACGCGACCAGGACGGCTACGTCCGCCTGCGCCGCCGCCGCCCACGCCTGGCTCGTGCACCCTCGCTGCCTAGAGTGGCAGCACGCGGCATGAACATCACTTCTCGGAGGTCCGCGCGGCTTTCTCGGATCGGCGCGGGAGCCCCCCCCCCCAGCTCCTGCAAACGGGATGTTTGTAAACAGGGTGATAGCTCAGGGTGCGTTTTCACTTGCCCCTTCGAAAACCAACTTGCCGCGCACAAGTGCGAGGCAATCCCCCCCCAGAACTCTGACGACGACTTGATCGCCCCGATGTATCACGCACTTAGTGCGAGGTAAATGCACGGTCACCCTGTACTCTGTCGTGGAGGCCCCTTAGCTACTACCCCGTTTATGAAGGGGCCCTGGGATATACAAATAGATAGACACAAATGAAATAGTTCCCTGTAGTTTCCCAACTCTTCGGGGTTTTTGTCTTCCCCCCCCACTTCCCATATTTTCCTATCTTTTCTGGGGAATCGAGGATTCATTGTGTCTGTGTGTTTTTTCCCCTCCTGAGTTTACTCACACCCCGCTTGCAGGACCCCCCCCCCCGGCGAGCGGGGCGCGCCCCGGGCGCCGCCAATGGGGGGTGGGGGGCGCGCCGCCCCAAGAAACCCAGGCTTGAGTCGGGCGTGTCCACCTACAGGGGGATTTTGGGCGAAAAAAATACCCCCAAAAAATACTCCCAAATGGTCAAGCATAGTAAACAAAACAAAAAAACAGTTCCCCGACTATTTCTAAACTATTTTTGAATTTTCCCCCTGTAGAGGGACAGGCCCGACTTAAACCCAGGCGGAGCGCTCCGAGGCATGAGGTCTGTGCCGCTGGCTTCGTGCTTGGCCTGCCTGCCGGGGTCCATGAGGGTGAACCTCCAGCCCTCCGTGGCGCAGAGCTCCGCCCAGGCCTCCGCCGGCGGCGGCTGGGCACCGCCGCTCTCCGCCTGCCGCTGCTCCCTGGCGAGCTTCTCGAGCGCTCGGGAGTCCCACGCGCCGGCGGCGCGGAGCAGCGCGCCCAGGAGCAGCGTCTTGCCCGCGCCGCTGCCGCCGAGCAGCACCACCGTGGCGTGCTGGCGGGCGTCCAGGTCGGGCGGAGGTGGGCCAGCCTGGCTGCGCGGTCGGCTGGCCACGCCCAAGGGCCAGGGGGGGGCCAGTCACCGTGCTACCACGGGGGACGCAGAATGAGGAACGAGGGGGCCTGACTGGCCGCGGTTAGCCTCGACCCTTGATGGGCACCCGCCCTAGACCTAAGGAGCGGTGCGGACCGAAAACTGGAGCCCCTCCTGAGCCCAGAGCGGTTCCATATTTCAGCCACTTGACTGCCGCCGAGCGGGCCCTGCAGGCCCCAACCGACGGCCAAAGGCTTCCAGGAGCAGGCCGAGGCTCACTGTTTTGTTGCCCCAGGGTAGACCTGCTTGGTTCTTGCCCTTACCCATAGTTGCGTCTAACGCCGCGACACCCGCGGCCCGCTTCTGAGGAAGGGCCCCTCTCAGGCCCAGAACATAGAACCAACACGAAAGACGTGCGCGCCCAGCCATGTATGCGTGAACAGCGGCCAGCCGACCCGCGAGGCCACCGTCGAGCTGTGAACGTTCGCGCAACGCACATCCCCGAAGCCCACGGAAACTCGAGTACGCATGTACGCTCCGGGGCTAGGCTGTTGAGAACGCCCTGGGCTGCTCGGGGGGCCTTCTGTGGCCAGCTGGGACGACTCGGGGGGGCCTGTTGAAGCCAGGCGGGGCTGCTTGGGATGGCTGCCAGCGCGCAGCCCGAAGCTTTACCGACGACGACACAGGAGGAAGGTTGGCAGTTGGAGGGGGAAGAACAGTGGCAGGTTCGCACCTTTCTGTCCGCCCCGGGTCAGACAAGGGATGAAAAACCCGGCCGGCGCGCTCGGCCACCGTTGCGGCGCTCTGTGGGCCAGGGCACGGGCCAGGGCACGTGGAGGAGGGGGGGGAGGAGGAGGAAAAGGAGAAGGAGGAGGAGGAGGACCAGGAGGAGCAGGAGAAGCAGAAGGAGGATGATGATGATGATAATGATGAGGAGGAGGAGGAGGGGGAGAAGAAGGAGGATGAAGAGAAGATGGCGACCCTTGAGGAGGAGGAGCATGATGATGAGGAGGAGGAGGAGGAGGAGGAGGACAGTGTAAACCCAAGAGGCATCAACGATGATGTTGGAATAAAGCCTCCCTCCAAGCTCCCTCTTCAAGGACCCCAAACAACGGCCCTTTTTTACGGAAGGAACTGTCTCGTTGGAAGACAACCCATGAAGACCCTGAAGCGTGCGAACACATTGTTCTTAGGATTTTAACGTCACGAATCAACCTTACTGTTGCGTCTTGACAACCTTGAATCGTGCCAGAAGGCCAGTCCTGGGACTTGCACACCGCGAGTCAACAACACTTGCGCACCCTCATAAGCCAGACCCACCCCAGAACACCATTTCTGGTACGCAGACCGTGGGAATTCATGAAACAAATGTGTAGGAGGAATGTGCGCGGCGCAAGGGCGAGAGCCACATTCTGAAAAGGAACCGACTTCAATCCGTGAAGCTCTTGCAAATTTTGAAGAGGAATGTGCGCGGGGCCAAGGCGAGAGCCACATGTTTAAAAGGAACCGTCCTCAATACGTTAAGCTATTGTACATGTTTAAGCAGAATGTGCGCGTTGCTGAAGCGAGAACCACATTTTGAAAAGGAACCGACCTTAATCCGTGAAGCTCCATGCGCGGCGCCAAAGCGAGAGCCACATGTTGAAAACGACTCGCCCTCAACCAGTGAAGCTTTCGCGAACGTGTAACACGAATGTGCGCGGTGCTAAGGCGAGAGCCACATTTTGAAAACCACCCGCCCTCCATGTGTAAAGCTGTTGCCAAATTAAGCTTTCGAGTCATGCGTGGTGAGTCTTAGGCGAAACGCCCGGCCCCCCCTCAAAACTGACCTTGGTGTGCGACAGGGAATCATTATGTACAAGGAACAAGACTGGAGGAGGAAGAGGAGGAGAAGAGGAGGAGGAGGAGGAGGAGGACGGGAGCCGAGCTCACGATTACGCCACTCTGTCACAGGACACCGTCCGCCTCTCCGCCGCGACGCCCCGAGAAGCTCTCTCGAGGGCCCCGGGGCTCCCCCGCGGGCCGACGCCCGCCGCCGACCGCGCGCAGGCGCCTGGCACGCCCTGCGCAGCCTCTCCACCAGCTCCGCCGTGGGCGCCGCGGGGCCCGCGCCCGCGCCCGCGGCGCCCGCGCCCGCGGCGCCCGGCAGCTCCGCGGGTCGGGCGGCGCCCGCGCACAGCGCCGCCGCCGGCTCCGCCGCGCGCGCAGCGGCCGCGGCCCGCGCCGGCAGCACCTCGGGGCTGGCGGCGCCCGCGGGCGGCCCCGCCGCCGCCTCCGCCGCGCCGCGCGGCCGCGGCCGCGGGCCTCGGCGCGCCGGGCGGCTCGGCCCGCGGGCGGGCCGCCGCGGCCGCTGCGTGCGCTCCTGCGGCCGCGCCGCCGAGGACTGCGTCTGAAAGGGGGCTGCGTCTTAGAAGGCGCAGGGCTTCACATCTACAGGCAAGGCCGGCGCCTTCTAAGGAGCAGGGGTGCTTCCCTTCGAGGAAGCCCTCCCCCTACCCCACCTCTGCGCATGGCCGAGGGCCGACGCCGGCGAAGAGGCGGAGCGAGGCGAAGCGAACGCCAGAATCGTGCGCGCCCCTCCTGCAGAGGCCGCCCAGCTGCAGCTGGGGGTCTGAGTGGGCGGGGATCGGAGGACCGCGCCGCACCGCCGATGCATGGGCGATGCGGCTCGACGTAGAGCCCGACTTCCTGCAAGTCGACGTCGCCGATGAATCGCAAACGTCGCCGATGCACCGACGATGCGTCGGCGACGTGTCGGCGATGTGTCGGCGATGTGTCGGCGATGCATCGGCGATGCGACGCGATCCTTCGACCCCATCTACTAGGACCCCGTCTGGGAGGCCTAGAGCTCCACGAGGGAGCCCGCCCGTGCCCCTGTAGGGCCTGGAGAGGACGCCGACAACGAGGATGATACGAAGCCGACTCGGGCACCCGCCGCCTTGAAGAAGTGCGTGGCAACCCGCAGTTGCTGATGAGAGAACGGGGGCGGACGCGGGGTGGGTCGCGGGTGGGTCGTGGTTTTCGCGGGGGGGCCGCGGGCGAGGACGACGACGACGACAACAATAATTTCAAGACAGTTCGCTCCCATCAGCTCGCGCGCCACTCAACACGTATATCCCAAACGCTCGGTACCCGCCCACTTCTTCTTCGATCGCACCCCCCTGGGGATATGTCTTCCTTGCCTGCCACGTATATTTCACGCGGCCCCATACAACAGGGGAAGAGAGGACAGACGGAAGGTGGAGGGAGAAGGATTGAGCACGACAGAGATCAGCAGGAAGGGGGGCAGAGGAGCAGAAAGCACATGGCAGAACCAGGCAGACGGGCGGGTCGGGAAGGTGGGCCCAAACGGCCAGGTCGAGCGGGCAGGCCGCTGCAACGTCAGTCCTGCACGAATCGCGAGCAACTCTCGAGCGATAGCGCGATCCCCCAGAAAATCGTGAGGAGATCCAGAGCGAGAACGTGATTCCGGAGTGTCGAGAACGTGGCGTCGGAAAGCGTGCAAAGAAGTGCCACGCGAGAGCGCGACTCCTGTGAACATTGTCATGAAAATCCGCGCGAAAGTTTGTTATAATAAGTTGCGAGGAATTATCAGTCGGGAGCCGTTGAATACTCATTCCTTGTTACAAAATAATGATTGCTGATCTCCGGAAGCGGTTCCGCGCGCTCTCGCCTCGACGCGGGCTACATTGTCGCTGAAAACGAGACTCCCGCGCTAGCGTTGGCTCGACTGTAAAAGTGTGCCCTTGGAGGCCCGGCTATAACGACAACGGCTCCCGCTAGATACTTCCTCACAACTTACCCCGAGACACCCTGGCCAAAGAGGCCCCCGAACTCAGGAACGGCGCTCTCGATCGAGACTTCCTCGCTATTCAATCAAGTTGGCGGAGGCCCAGCCACGACGACAAGGGCTCCTGCTCGATACTTTTCCACGATTTAGTCTGAGAGCCCCTGGTCAGGAAGGCCCCCGAACTCTGGAACGGCGCTCTCGTTCGAGACATTCTCGTGGCAATCAAACTGGTGGAGGACAAAAGTACGACGACAAGGTCTCTGGTTCGATACTTCCGCAAGACGTATTCGCAGAGGCCCTTGCCAGAGAGGCCCCCGAACTCAAGAGTGGCGCTCTCGCTCGAGATTTTCTTGTGATTCAGGCGAGCGAGTGGAGGCCCAGCCACGGCGATAAGGATTCCCGTTCGATATGTCTCCATATGTATTCCGAGAGCCCGTGGCCAGAGAGGCGCCCGAACTCAGAAACTGCGCTCTCGCTCGAAAGTTCCTCACACTTCAGTCAGTGGCCGACAAGGTAGGCATTCCCCCCCCGAGAGGGGGTGCATTCGAAGACGAAGTGGGCGGGTATCGAGGGTGGGGGTATACAGAATGCAAGACACGCGTGACGTGCCAGTAAGAGCAAACAGTATTGAAATGAGTGATGTTGTTGCTGTCGTTGTTGTAGGTATTGTTGTGTTGTTTGTTCATGTTGTTTTTGCTGCTGTTATTGTTGGTGTCGTCGTTGTTGTTGTTCCTGTTGAGTTCTCATGTCAGAAAAAAATGAATATTGTTGATCCCCCCACCAGTGCATACTGTTTTTTGCTCGATCAAAGTGTGCCCCTCGACGCTCGCACTTTGTTTTTCGACAAGGAAAATCATCCTGCTCTGGGCCCCTGGCCCCCGGGTTACAGCAACAACGGCTCCCGCTTGAGACTTCCTTACGATTTAGCCAGGATGCCCGCTCCCGCACAAGATTTCCTCGCATGTTATTCAGGAATCGTGTTCTCGCTTGGGACTTCCTTCCAATTTATTCAGGAATCGCTCTCCCGGCGCCCTGGAGTCGCGCTCTCGCTGGAGACTTGCTTGCAACTTACTGAAGAATGGCCTTGTGTTGGGATTTCCTGAAATTTGCCCAAGCGCCGCGCTCCCGACACCCAAGCACCCAGGAGTCGCGCCCGTTGTGGCCCCATGTGCATGCCTTTCGTGGCCTCGCTGTCGCCATTTGTGTCCCCCT